ACGTTTAGGGCCTAAGGTCGAGTTCAGCATCGAGGGTTGATGAGTGTTGGTTAGGGTTTGGGGATGTTTGGGGTTTTGGGTTTAGAGGGTTTTGGGTTTTGGGGTTTAGACCTTAGAGATAAGGGTCTTAAATCCCCCTCGCTGAAACCCGCAAATTAGGCCCTGAACAAACAGATATCTCACGTTACAAGAGGCTGCAAGACCCTCTTGGAGCCCTACACTACGAGAAGCTTTACAAAACAGACATAGTCTTGATCTTTTGGTCATGGACCCATAAGCTCTACTGAGGGCCGCAAATAAACTTCTGAAAGCCTGTAAGACACTTTCAATCGAAATTCATGAGAACTCGTATAAAATTCATAAAACCCACTAAAGCTGAAACCCTGTCCCTTACAAAACTCATATAGAAATTCATAAAACCCACTAAAGCTGAAGCCCTATCCCTTCTAAAGCCTTATAAAGCCTCGTCAGACCCTAAACCCTAAACCCTAAACCCAAAACCCTAAACCCAAAACCCGAAATGCAGGAGATCGTTGGGGCCACCGTCGTGTCGGAGGGCGCTGGCGAGATGTTGGCGGAGCTCACGTGGCTCTGCCGGATTTCGGGGTTTGCGGGCCCTGAAAAAGGGTAATATACGGGCTTTAATACTTAGAATAGGGTTTTCGGGCCATTATACTATGATTATAATATGGATAATATGGAACCCCCAAAATAGTTTTGGTAAGGAAAACCCTAAACCCTAAACCCTAATGTATGTATGATTAGGACGGCTCAGGGTTTGGCGGCTTTATGTTATAACGGTTCACGGTTTAGGGTTTAGGGTTTAGGGTTTAGGGGGGTTTAGGGTTTAGGGTTTAGGGTTTAGGTCTAATAATGCATTGTGAGAGCTTCAAGCTTCACGGTTTAACTATATAATTGTTCATAAGAGTATTCTAACATGTTATGAGGGTTTTAGGGCTCGGGATGTTTAGCGTTTAGGGCTTCGTGTTTGGGGTTTCAGGGTTTGGGATTAGGGCGTGACCATCTCGCATATTGCAGATACCGTGAAACGACTCTTGAACTGTGGCTGAAGGTTTACTGGGGTATGGCACTGAACGAAAGGAATCTTGTTGAAAATCGTTCAAATCCTCTTCAACTCGAGCCCTTAAGGACATGTCACAAGGTACAACCCGCACATTGGACATGCACACTGTCGGGTTAAGACACCTCCTCGTCAAACATATCCTGTGCCTTTGCACCCGAGATCCCCAAGACCGGAACCTCTGAGATAAAAGTCGGATGAAATACTAACAGATAGCCCGGTGAAGCCCCACATAAGCAAAAGAGCATATATACCACAATGCTATTCCGTGGCCATAGTCTGGCAATTGCGAGGTGCATTTCGGTGCTCCTGAGCAACTGCATAGCCTGAACCCGAAGCCCGAAACCCTAAAACCTAAACCCTATCCCTCAGAACCCTATAAACCACAGAAGCCCGATAAGCTAAAAAAGACCTAGCCCCAAAAGCCTTAAAAGCTCCAATTAAGCCCTAAACCCCAAGAGCGCTAGAAACCTTATAAACCCTAGAAGCCCTATAGGCCCTAAACCCTTAACCCCATGAGCCCTAGAAACCCCAAACCCCTATAAGCCCCAAGCCCTAAACCCTAAACTCTGCCCTAAGTTATAAACCCTAAGCCCTAAACCCTAAAAACTACCCTAAACCCTAAACCCTCAACTACCCTAAACCCTAAACCAAACCACCCTAAACCCTAAACCCTCAACTACCCTACACCCTCAACCCTAAACTACCCCAAACCCTAAACCCTAAACTTCCCTACACCCTCAACCCTAAACTCCGCTAGCCTCCAAGCTTTTGCAGGCTGGCGGTTCAGAACGGCTTGGGCTTGTCGCAAGTGGCCAGGGGCCTCGGCTTAGGGCTTGCAAGCGAGCCCTGCAATAGAACCCCATAGGGTTTAGGGTTTAGGGTTTAGGGGTTTAGGGTTTAGGGTGTAGGGTTTAGGGGTTTAGGGTTTAGGGTTTAGGGCTTAGGGTTTAGGGTTTAGGGTTTAGGGTACCTGCGGAATACACCTGACTTCGAA